ACCAAAAAATGTGTCAGTACTGCAGGCTAACATCAGCGAGATCTCATCCTGGGTAAACTGCCACTGTTGGTCCAAAGGGTCTCATTGCCGCAGTCCTTTAGATGAATGGTTGGGGCAGGGATCGAAGGATCCTGTGATTAAAATAAAAAAAATAATTAAGACGCATTTTCTTTTAATACATCGTACAGTACTCATTGTTTAAGCACAGGTTAGAGTGATATAATAATAAAAATGTAACAATACAAAGCAATGTTGCTAGTTGGACAGCAACAAGAATGGAAATAATCAAAGCAAGTCAAAGTGCTTTCTTGCCGTTTCAGTAACTAAATAAAATACAAGATAACTTGGGAAACTGAATTGTATTCAAACAAAAACTCTTTCTGTGTGCGTTACCTTATTGATGACTCAGATCTTTGAAGAGCAGCAGTAGCCTATTCGTGAAGAATGGCAGCATTTACCACCTGGCCTAAAAACAATCATATATATGCACAGTACATTACATCATAATAAAACTAAGTACATGGTAGATTTCTACACTTACTAGAACATTGAAACAAACAAAAGGAGTGAAATTTACACTGCACTTCAACAATTATGATATCATTTTAAGTATGTTGCTAAAAAACTTGTTTGCCTCACATGAATCAAGTCAGCTGCAGTTCTTCCTTCAGTGAGTTACTGTTTCTGAAGCCTCTGAGGACAGTTGAGAAGAAAGTGTCTGCTGATTTGTCAAAGGAGAATACGTTAACAACTCAAACATAAACGCACTCAATTTAAATCAACAACACTCAATCTTATGTTTTTGTTAAATACTCTATTTAAAAAGGTTTTATGAAAAAGTTTTTATTTGCACTTACCTTCGTCTGATATAAATGTCTGGAAAGGAAAAACAGGACGCTGTCAGTGCACGCAGTAACTGAAGGCAATGGGCTAAAATACAGTTCAGAAAAAAATATGACATTGAAAAACTTTGTCGTTGTGTTATGGTAAACATTATACAATGATTTTATTAATTCACACTTACCTTAGTCTGATGTAAATCTCACAGAAAATACCGGGCGCCGTCAGCGCGCAAGATTTGAATGGAGCAGGGGCGGGAATAAACGGCTCGAAAACAACGTCGGGCTAGAAAATACAGTTTAAAAAAACTGTTACAACATTGAACAAATTGTGATGTTATGTTCTGGCAAACATGTTATTTAAAATAGTTTTATGAATTCACACTTACCATACGTTTTCTCAGCCTCAGAAAATACCGGACGCTCTGCGCGCGCAAGAAGAACTTCAGTGAGTCAGGGGCTGCTGCGGGGGAGGGGGGAGAACAGGCTCGAGAGTCGAGACTCGAGACAGTCGTCGATTAAAAAAAGATTCCATTTACAGGCGTCAGGAATTGAAAGTCTCGTTCCAAATGCGAGGCCTGAAATGTCTGTACGTGATTGACAGGACCGATTTAACCCCTAAATGACTGTTTTATGCAGTGTCAGTCAGTCCCTCTGGCCTGCTGCCTGCATCAACAAATTCACGATGAACAAAAAAAATACTGCCTTGTGTATCGACCAATCAGCGTGTTGTCAAGGCAGAATTTCAGGCACGGCCAATCATATTAAACCGACACATAGTGAATCATTTAAATAACTTGAAATTTTGAGTTCATAACACTTAAAATCTTAATCTGAAAGACTGTTGCTGCCAAATGAGTACATTAAACACAACTGTTTCATTTTTGATGCAAAAACTTGCTATTGTAAGTAATGTTAAGTTATGATAACTTGATTTCTTTATTAATGATAACATTGGGGTTTACAGTGCACATACATTTTCAAAAAACAACATTCTTTCTGTTGATTTTACAGGCGCATAGACATTTATCAATTCCATATTAGCATTTTCAAACTTTGCTATTATCTTAATTAGTCTACCTTTTACTACTTCTGTAACATCATACGATATTGGTAGACAAGTCTTTGAAAACAAAACAGCCACCCCAGCACTCAGAGCAGTCTTATGACTCAGAGCAATACTTCCTTCCCACTCTTTCATCCATTCAACTTCATTATCCTCTGTACTGTGAGTTTCTTGCAAAAACATGACATCTATATTTTTTAATTTCATTAACTCATAAATCTGCGCTCTTTTGCTTGCATCCCTCGCCCCATTTACATTCAGGGAAGATATTTTAAAATTACTCATTATGAGGGATGAAAAAAACACAAAGAGCCAGGTCCATATCACGCTATTATTCTTGTGACAAATCATTATTCAATGCTTGAGGACGCACTTTTTGTACAATCTTTTTTAGACGATACAGCTCAGGATTTGACAAACAACCTTCACCTTTCTGTTTCATTAATATTTTTACTGAGTCAATAAATAAGGAAAGATCAGGAAAATAGTCTATGACCTCAACATTCCTCATTCCCTTTGTACGCTGGAGAAAAAGTTTCATTCTTTCCAAACTGTAACCACTATAGTCTTGTCTCACCTCTTCCTCAACTTGAACTTCAGAAAGTTCTTGCTCACTCTCTGAGCCAGACAAATCGTTCAACACCTCCCGAGAACTTTTAGTACTGGTTTCAACTTGTGCCTTTTTCTTTGATGAAATTACAATCTCACCAACATTAGACTTCCTTTTCACTGCTGGCACTTTAAATGCTGCTTCGTCCTCTTTGAGTAAATCACCCACCATCTCATCCAGCTCAACATCCATTATCTCATCATCTTTTCGAATCCGTTTCTCACTACACTTCACTCCACTACTTCCTGGTTCTTCATTGCCCACACTCAAATCCGAAACCTCACCAACTTCACTTTCTTCTTCCACCCTCTGACTCTCATTTAGATTTTGAGATCCACTTTCCTCTTCTGTACCATTTGACGCATTTTTGTCTGGACACGCGCGTACCAAGTGCCCCACCTTCCCGCATCCAAAGCATTTCATACTCTCCGTTGTTGCAAAAATTACATAATCAAAGCTATCAACTTTGAATTTAAAAGCAATATTAAGTTCGTCAATATCACTCCTCAAAATAACATATACTTGTCTGCGGAAAGACACAACGTGTTTCAACAACGGGGATTTACACCCTAATGGAATTTTCTTAATAGCCGAGACCAACTGTCCATATCGTGATAATTCACGTTGCAGCGCTTCATCACTAATAAATGGAGGCACATTGGAAAGCAAAACCTTTCTCGCTGGGTTAACAAGTGGAAAGACCTTAATCAAACTATCATTGAGAACTATCCCGTTTTCAACTGCCGCATTCGCTTTTTCAATTTTGTCTAAAAATACCACCACCGCACCGTTCATTCTCGATGCCGAACGAATGCTGCTGTGACCAACACCCACCACCGCTCCTACCGCTAAAACACATTCTTCGACTGAGCACTCAACTCCAACCGGCACTTTTATTCCATGCTGCCGGGTGAGTTGCCCATAACTCGTCGTCTCCGCATTCGCCATGGCAGCAGCCAGTTTAAAAACTGGCTAATCCAACTCCCCGTTCTCACCACAATGTTCCCAGTGCTTTGTGACCATACACAGTAAAAACCAGTGAAAGAAACAACATATAAGTAAAACAGACCTTTGAAAATGAAGAAAAGACTCCACAGTCACGCTCCGATTCACACTCCGCACTCACTCACTCAACAAACGCCCACGCATGCGCACGAGAGAGAGAGAGAGAGAGAGAGAGAGAGAGAGAGAGAGAGAGAGAGAGAGAGAGAGAGAGAGAATTCAAAATTTCAGTAGAATCACTTTGAGAATAGTTGTTTGATACTATTAGAATTGGCTTCAAATTGTTAGTTTTCAAAATAATTTATTGGTTTGATGGACTTTTAAAACTTATTTTATCCATCTTTACATCTTTTTGACCTGTTAACTGTCACCCCCCTTTTTTTGAATATACATGAAAATGCACATTTCGAACTGAAATGGTTGTAATTCAAGAATGCTTTGGAATATAGACGTAAGATTGGTCTCGTTTTAAAGAAGACATTTGAAAGTGTCATAAATTAAGAAAGTGAAATGGAAAAAAAGTTATAGAAGTTTGAGTTTATGAAAATATACAGTGTAAAAAATTTAATTATTCATATTTTATATAAAATATATATTTTCAAAACCTGGGTGACTCTAAAACTGCAAAAAAAAAAAAAAAATCAAAGCCAAAAATCTGAACAAGTTGTGTTTCAAATTTTAGGTGGATATCTCAAAAATTAGCTTTTAGTAAGATTTTGTTTGGGTGCAGTACCAAACTTTTTCACTAGATGACAACCAGACTCCATTACTGCCCATATAAGGACGGCTCCATTTCCATGTGTTTTGAGTGATATGAACCATTATTTCCACAATTTTCATACAATTTATGAAGTAGACATCCTATTCAGAAGTAATATGAGAAGTTTGGCAGATTTTGATATGAATTCAACCTCTAAGAAACACATAAAAATAACATGTATGTGCGTTATAGCTCGCTGCCACCTCACAGATGGTGAATCTATGATTTTTTTCTTTATATTTAAAAATTTTTTAGACCTTTTTTTCTAAAATAATTGAATGGATGCTATCTTTTGAACTCTTGGCATGAAAACAAACTGAGGTTTCTACCCTTTCATGATTTTTCATGTTCATCACTATTTCAAAATAAAGGTCTGAACACGCCTTAGGAGTATGAAAATATTCTTGTTGCAAATTGATAAATTACGGCTACACTGTAATTTATTTTGAAGATCAATCACCAAATATGGAAACTAGAGATTGTAAGCTTTCAAATGATATATAGTTTGTCAAGATTAGTTTAGGTTTAGTATAGGATATTACTGTTTTAGAAATGTAATGGATTTGGGCCCACCTGTGGGCCGGTGACACTCTGAAATCCTCCCACTCTATGCATATTTGATGAGGCCATTTTGACTTTTACACTTTCAAAGTTCACATCAAATGAAAGTTTTGCTACTTCCCTCCTCGAACTCGTAACACACTCTCACCATCTATCTGTCAGGTCTCTGGTGGAGCAGTTACGTCGCCTGCAGTCTCTGGTGATGAACGGCTCCTGCAAACCGGCTCAAACGGGAACCTGCATCCTGGTAAGATGACAGCGGAGGAGGGAGGAAGGAAGGGAAGGAAAGGAAAAGAAATGAAGGAATAAAGGTAGCATATGCTTTGAAGGAACCCGCTCCAAGGGTTCTTAGAACTCAAGCACAATCAAAGTAAACACTGGCAGAAGAGGTAGAGAAAGGAATCAAACAAATCTTCAGTGACACATCGACCAGAGCAGAGAGATTTCAGCCGTGGCGTCAGAAAAGTCACTTTTCTTCTTCATTTACAACTGATTACATCATTGACTGCTCTTGAACACTGTCTGCCACCTTCCATTAGAGCTCCACAACATCTCAGACTGTGCTCACATTCAAAGTCTGCAGTCAGAAATATCAAACAGTTCTTCCAAATAATCTCAGCTATGCTCTTCACATTCTCCTCTGAAAGAGAATTAAAGAAGACCTATTGCTTTTTAACATTTTAAACTGTCTTTAGTGTGTAATGTTGCTGTTTGAGCATGAAAAAGGTCTGCAAAGTTACAAAGCACAAAGGCAGTTCTTCTCTATACAGTGTCAGTGTTTCTGAACTCCCTGAAACGCCTCCATTGTAGTCTTGAGTTTTCTTCCGCGAACGAACACGTCACAATATTCCTCATTTAAATAATTCCCGCCCAAGGCATACGCAGAATAAAGGGGCGGGGCCTGGTTGAGTTAGTTAGTAGAGTGTTGAAACTCGCGGTTATGGTAAGGGGCGGGGCATTTCCCAAACACACTTGAAGCGCTTGACCAATCATAATACGCTGGTCCAGCCAATCAGAGCTCAGTGTGCTTTTCAGAAGGAGGGGCTTCATAGAGACAGGAACTAAACAGAGCGTTACTGACAGACTGGGAAGAGAGAAGCTGCAACAATGGAGAATATGGGAAAAATAATCTGTTTTTTGAACATTCAAGCATGAAAACCTATTCTAGTATAACAAAATCAAGACTTTGTAAATAGGTTCTCTTTAAAATGAAATGCATTGACAGTGAAACTAAATAAACCAAAAGAAATAATAATCAATCATAGTTCATGTTTTGTGGTTTGTGCTCACTGCTGTCCGTGCTCCGTTGAGATGTGCCGGTCGAACTCGGTTAATAAATTCAAGCATCAATCTCTCCCTTGAGCAGATGAATGAATAATTTCATAAGTGATTCGGGAGGCACCGGTTGGGTATTTGAAATTCAAATGAACACAGATGCCATGAAGATAAATGAAGTGAACTGTCTGGATAATACAATATTGCTGACGGGTGTAAAAGCAGACTTAATGATTCACGGCACCTCAAAAACATGTTTAGAAAGGAAAGGGATGGAAAAGAAGGAAGAGCAAAAAAAGAAAATAAGGAGAAAAAAAAGGAAAGTAAAAAAAAGGATGGAATGTTATTATATTACCAACCCTAAACTTTTAAACAGCATTACATATACAAAATATTTTTAATATAAGTATCAGAGGGGATATTGCAAATTATAATATAGAACATTTATTTTTATCTTTCCTGTGCATGTGGCAGAGAACCAAAATGATGTGATGATTATAATGAAAGTGTTGATTATACAAGCCTGTTTTTAATGCATGTAGGTCATAAGCTGACCCACATAGCAGGACTTGTTTATTTACTTCCTCTCGTTTAATATTCCTTCTTTTCCAAGGTGCTGGTCATCTCTTTCTCTCTCATTCTCATCCCGAGTCTCCAGCCCAGGAGGGCCGCGGACCCCGGGGACTTCAGCACTGCCAAAGGTTCGTCAACATCAACAGCATTGCAGACAGCATCATGAAACTGTGAATTTGACTTCATTTACATATGAGTCCGAACGCATTTCAGAAAACTGTGTATCTTCCAAACATCTCTGTTTGCCATCTGAAGCGTGTAGTGATTTCGTTTTCTGACCTGAGATGTCAATATAAACAAGTTTTTCATTTAAAGAGACTGTATAGTACAGAGGGCTCTACATCAAGGCGTAACCTGATTTATATTCAGGTTCTTGAACAAGACAAAGTGGGAGGCTGCAGCATTGAAGCGAACAGACAAGCTCACATTTACACGTCTCAGGCTCTTCTGTTCTTTTAGAGCAGTGACAGCGATCAGAAAGCAATGGGGTCGTGGCTGTCAGACGGTATACAATGTCTGCTTTTCACAACCTCAGAACGCTCACCTGCATTCATTTTTCATGTGGCACGACTTTTCTTCTCAAATCGTGTTTGACCTTTCTCATACTCTGCTTGGTTTAATCTCTGACAGTGTTGCTTTCAATGTCTGCTTGCACTCAGCAAAACAAGGTTAGGCTCAACAGTAGGAGATTCTGAAAACTAAGTACTTTTTATTCTCTACGTCTAGAAAGCATCTGGTGTTTTAAAGCAGGGGTTTTCAAACTGGGCTCCAGAAGAGGGTTCTAATGGTGTGTTCACACCGAACGCAAATAGAGCGTCAAATACGCGCCAATCACGTCTAGTTAGACGCTTGAACATTTTGAACCCATTCGCGCGTCCGCGATGGGTTCACACACAGCACCATCCAGAGGCGCACTCAACTCGGTGAATTTCACCGTCTTCTCCAGGAACTGCGCCTGGATGACAGCCGCTTCTTTCTCCAAGCTATTTGCTTTTTTGCCCGGTCTCTGTAAGCATACGACGTAGTATCGTATATTTCAGACGGCAACAATTAGCATCGCCTCCATTTTCGACAACAGTGATAGACCGGACGTATCAATTAGCTCTTCGTTGATTGGCTGGCGCAACAAAGCGTCATGCGATTGTTCCGCTCGAGTTCAAATTTTTCAACTTGCGCGGAAGACGTTTGCGGCAAACGCGTCTCCCAATTCGCGTCTTTGCATTGACTTTCTAATCTACTCGCGCAAATAATTAAATTTGCGTTCGGTGTGAACACACCATAAGGCTATTCACACTGTCAGTCCAAATTTGATTATTTGTGTATCCGATTGGAATCTAAATCTTATTTACAACATGACAATGACTACGTTTACATGCAGCCAATAACCCGTTCAAAACCGGGATATTAGCAATAACCCGGTCGCGCACGGCCATGTAAACACCGGCAAAAACCCGAATATGCTTATATCCCGGATTTTAAAAACCGGGATATGATACCTGGGGTACCCCTTTTCTAACCCGAATTTTTGGTCATGTAAACGCGCATCGGCATATCCCCATAGTGATTTGTGTTCTGCGCATGTTCTATTCGCAAGGAATCTTGGTCTTTTGAGTAGAGGAGCTTCTCGGCGCATACAGAAACCTGCGTGCAGTATACCGGAAGTAAACATGGCGAGACGCAGCACAGCATACTTTTGGAGCGAGGTCAGTACCAGCACCAAAGCGCAAACAAAGGCGATCGATCGCTATCTGCCCCGAACTATTCATTATCCGCGTGCTGCTGCTGTTGTTGTTGTCTTTGGATACAGGAAGAAGAATCGGAAATGACGCATATTGCGTCTTAAAGGGGAAATGAAGCAGTCAGTCAAGTTTACATAATTTACAAGATGGATTACCACTATAATCAAAAATTATATAAGAAACATGACAAATGTTAACATATAAAAGAAAAAAGAAACACCGTTATATCTTTCGCGGCAAGGGCGCCGCCATTGTGCAGTATTATGACTGGTGACATCACGGGGTTGGTTGGCTTTAAGGTTGTCTGTACGTCTTGACGCTAACCGTGCGTCGCCATTTACATCGGGATATTGCAATTCCATGTATACAGGAGAAACTCTCTCTGCTCACGCATGTAAACGGGTTATTCCTAATGTTTCAGAAACCCGAATAGTGACCTTAACCCGACCATAGACAGTAAAAGAAATGGACACAGCGACCCCGTTGATTTCAACGGAGAGAGTTGAAGCGCAACATGGGCACTCACTTCCTGATAGCCAAGCGTTCTGCGCAGGCTCAAACTGAGCTTGACGACGTAGTTGTCACGTGAGCAACCGTTCTGACCTTCTAGTAGCTGTGCCGGACAAATCTGAATTGAAATCTGAAACAAATCTGTTGTTGAAATATTTTGTCCCGTTGCTTTTATGAACTCTCTATCTATGGGCTTATCCCTTGACTTTATGCCTCCATGTCCACCCGATTGCCTCATAGACAGTAAACGATTGCCTACGAGCTTCTACTTCTGTCTATACGGTAATTTCTCTACTGTGGCGACAGAGCGTCCCGTGGTTATGACGCAATCGTTAGCCTATTTTTACAAGAATGGCTTCTACGGGGCCATAATGTAAGATACAAAGTAATGGAGCCTTTTATCCATTGTCCCGTTTCTTGAGAAATAAATAATGGACAAATGGAGTCTTTGGACACCTCAGATGTAAAGTTATTCGCTGTCAAAGTGACGCCAAAATGAATGGGAGTCAATGGGATGCTAACAGCAGGTGATAGCCAGCTACAATGGCGGCCCCCGGAGGCAGCTTCAACTTCCGGCTGATGGATTACCCCCTTGAACCCGACCATAACCCGAAAATTGGCTGCATGTAAACGTAGTCAATGTGCATTCACCGCGCTGGATTACTTTGTTTTCTGGGGCAGCGGCAGAAAGGAAGGAGGCTGGTATGAGTGACTGTATTCCGCGCCGCCGTCTCCGCCAGCATTTCATGTGATTTTTTTTTTAGTTCACACTTGCTAATTCTGATCAGTTTTGGACTGATATCCAAATATTTCATAAAAAAAAAAAACTTAACTTTTTCTAACATCCATCATTAATATGAAAGAGAATAAGACACATTCAAAATAATAATACAAAGTTAATATTTTAATAAAACATAATTATTATGTATATTATTTTGTTGTGTGTGTGTATATATATATATATATATATATATATATATATATATATATATAATACTATCTGAAAAATATTTAGGCTACTTTGTATTAATTTGAATTTATGTTTTGATAAATATTTAAACAAAAATATGTTTTTATTAAATTAATACTTTACAAAATTACCAATGTATCATATATATCATCATAGTATTTCTCACAGAATTTAAATGGGTCTTTATACATGAAAATATATAGTCTGTCATTATATTTTAGCAAGAGGATCATTAAATTTGGGGGTCGATGTCATCAAAAACTTTGAAAGCCCTTCATTAAAAAACCCAGAAACCAAAACACTGATCTGAAGAACCTATAATGTTGCAATCTAGAACTTCTTTTAATCTCCAGAGAACTGTATAGCTCAATTCGAGAGCACTATAGTATACAGCCAAAAATTATTCTGGATAGAAAATTATTCCTAGAACCTAAAAGTACTGTAAAGTACTATTGAAAAAAAAAAAACATTTTTAAACAGAGTTCAACCAAAAGTCATTTTACCCTTGTACTGTACACTCTCAGAAAAAAAGGTACAAAAACTGCAGCTTTTGCTCCTTTTTTTCCCGAACAGACATTTCCAAAAGGTACACTTTTGTATCTGAAGGTGCATATTAGTATCTAAAAGGAACAAAAGAGCACCTTTTGAAAAGGTACCGCTCCAGTGAAAGCTTTTGTCCCTTTTTTTCTGAGAGTGTATCATTCTGACTCTAAAGGCTGAGAAAATGCTGACAGAATAAACCCAAAAGAGTGTTACAGTATGTCCAGACACTTATGATGCTACACACTGTTATTTTACTTAAATCTACTATGGCAAGATCCAGTTTTTATTCTTATGTATGATGGAACTGCTCTCGGGAGAAAGTTTAATTCTATGTACATACAAATGAAAATATTCACTGACTCTGAAACCTCCCGGAGACAGAACACACTGAATATGCAGCAGTGAGTCACTGAAATCCCTTCTTCCCCTCTCTCCTGCAGTTCAAGCCAGGTCACTGCGCTCCGTGATGGAGGTGTACAGCATTCAGCCGGGCTACTCAGTCAACAGGGATGTGGAAGTGTCCTCGTCCCCTAACAGCAAGCTTCAACTCAGGCCTGAGTACGCCGACATGAACCCTCTCCATCACAACCACAGCTACAGAGACCGTGAGCACGACCACAGCGACCCCATCACCGGCCACACTGCCTCACTGAGCTGGCTAACACATCAGGAGAAAGACAGGAAGTGATGTAACCGAATGGCGCACATTATTACACCAGACTCTTGACTAAACGGAGACGCAGCTCATTTCGGCCACATGTATGAAGTGACCGACTGTCTGACTGACATGCTTCTGTGTGGCATTCTATGGGGTTTATCTGAATAGATTTGACCAAAATAACAGACTGGAATGGGAAAACAAATAATTCAAACAATGATGAAGCAGTCAATGCAAAAAGTTGTACAGAAAACACAAAGATAGTGTAAAAGGTTGCAGGCTTATGTGAATAGATTTTACGCCGATAACATACTGGAATGGAAACATAAATCATGCAAATAATGATGCAGCAGCATGTGCTATTTTTTTTTTACAGAAAACAAAAAATGTGTAAAATGTCGCAGGTTTATCTGAATAGATTTTTTTTTTTACACAGTAACAATGGAATGGAAAAATAAATATTTCAAATTATAATGTAGCATTTTTTATATTCAATTGTTCATTGCATCAACATTTGTAAACATGACTCTGTTCTCAGTTCTACTGCTACCTTAAATTGCATAAAACCAGCCAATCAGATTCGATTAGATCGAGGAAGTGTTTTCTGTGCAATATGCATCAGTGAGCCAGCATCATCCACAGATTTGCAGGAAAGTCAGAGGCTGGCTTGTGTTTTAAATGTTGCCATTGGGGAAGAGATTAATCATTCTGAAATGGCCTAGAACGGCACATCGTATCAAAAGCGAAATCTCTTGCCAAGCGTTGTGTGGATCGCCGTGCCAAGATCACCTTCACTTCGGCTGTTTAATAACCCAGATTAATGCGCAGACAGCTAATCTCATTCGTGCAGAATCAACCACAAGCACAATGTACCAACACACAACTGGGTGTTAATTCCAGACGCTCGTTAATGTGAATTTTTTTTAAACTTCATTTCCTTTTTTTATACTTAATCCTTTTTTGAGGGGTCGTTTTTATCTGTGACTTTGTTCTCTAAGGCTGCATTTAAATTCCGATTTGTTGACTATATCCAATTTTTTGTATGACCAGCTTACATCTTTTAAAAGTGACCCATATCCGATATCTGCATTTACATACACTTGCCGAAACAACCCAAGGAAGACTGACCAGGAAAACATAAAGCCGAAAAGGAAGTACAAACGGCGCGATTTGCAATGGACGCAGATGAAATGATAATACAAGCTTTTGCTTTCCTCACCAGGGGCCTCATGTATCAACACTGCGTACGCACAAAAACACGGCGTACGCCAGCTTTCACGTTCACGGCCAGATGTACTAACAGTGAAATTAACGTAAGAATGTGCGTTCCTCCAAGTAAACTTCATGTCTGGCGTACGTACAGTATATTTGTTGTGATTTTTGTCCGTTGGCGACTCATAGAGATGTCATGTTGCACTACGAATTGTTCTATCGCACCACCAGCTGTCAGATACTGCTTATAATTTGTAATTGATCAATTATTTGACATATTATTGTCACACGAGTTTTATTAAAATATTATATTATGCAATTAAGTAAGAACATATATAAAGCATGTCCAAATTGATACAACCCGTCTAGCAATGGCAGCGTTGGCTTAACTAGGAATAAAAAATAAACTTCATTAATTCGGTCAGTAAAGATAAAAAAAGAAAGTAATATTTTTATTCAGCAAGGACACATTGAATTTGTTTAAAAGTGAGAGTAAATCCATTTATAATGTTACAAAAGATTATAAGATTTCGACATCTGTTTGATTGAAGTTTTTATTCATTAAAGAATCCTGAAAATACTATAGCACGGTTTCCACGAAAATATGAAGCAGAAGCACAGCTGTTTTCAACACTGATAATAATCATAAATGTTTCTTGATCATCAAATCATCATATTAGAATGATTTCTGAAGGATCATGTAACACTGAAGACTGGAGTAATGATGCTGGAAATTCAGCTTTGATCACAGGAATAAACTACACTTTACTATATATTCACATAGAAGACATTTTCAGTGAAATTTCGTTTCTTGCTTGCTTTAGCCATGTTCTTGCAGGTTTCTTTTGCCAAATTGGACTAATTACCATTTTTAAATTAATTGAATTGGGGGTGGAGACTGGGTGGGGCGTTGTGCTCGTGCACGTGCGCTCAATTTTACGTTAATTGGGATGTACAAAGAGAATATGCGTGGGATCCTTCGTACGCAGAGATTCATACATCAATTTTTTTGTGCGTACGCACATTTACAGCTTTGTCGGTACGCAATGTTTTAGTATGAATTCAACCCAAGTCTTTGTAGGCTACATGAGGCCCCAGGTCAGCAAAAAATTAGGATTGAGCCTTCGTCCTCCATTGCGCCATTGAAAAGTGTCATGTGATCGCGGTTGGTGTCCACCTGAGTTGGTGTCCACTTTTTCAATGACGTACGACTTGCATTGACGGGAATATCCGATCTGTCCGCTCACATGGCAAAAGCAAATGCACACACATATATAGCATATATATTCATATCAGATTTATTTCCAGGTCTAAAACTGATCGGAGAATATCAGAATCCACATACTTTTTTTGCTTAGGGTCATAATCCGATCTGTGCCACATGGGAGACACAACATCGCAATTGAGTCCCTTGAAGCATGTAATGTAAATGTGGCCTGACCCATTCGGTGCACCGAACTCCTCCGGGTGCTCTGACTCACAGTCAAACGCGGTTCCTGAATGCTAAACGACACTTTTACTATTTTGTTGCTACATTAACTAGATGCACAATCCATTTAGTATTCCAACAGGCAGCAGCTGTGAAACCTAAAATTACTGCAGAATAATAAAGCAGTGAATATGGTAGTTTGTTCAAGCAGGTGTCCACCTCTGTGAGTCTCCAGGCAGCTGTTGCCTGACAATAAGAATATGTGTATAATTGGACCCGTGGAGTATTACACATCCCGAGGCCGAAGCATTCATCCGCGCTTCAGGAGTGCTCAAGGCCACGCGCGTTAAAAGCAACTTTCGCCTGTCATGCACAAGTGTTTCAGGTTGCTGAGCCGAGTGTATGCTACTCATGTGGTGTGTTCTTTAGAGGTGAAGGAAAGGTGAGGAATAAAAATTCCCCGTTTCGCACGAGGTCAGTCCTTTTGCATCAAAGCTGCTTGTGCATGTGGAGCGACCGGAAATACAGTGCAACCTTGAACAGAATGAGCAGTTCTCCTCTCCCTCTTCTGGGTTTTTGTTCTTTAAAATATTGTTCTAATCTTGTTTTTTTACATTTTATACTGCAGTGAGAAGCAGTCTTTAGAATATTACTGATAAATTGGTAACCACAGTATATGAGTAGCCTATGTGGCATTATATTTTCCAAGATAAATTTGGAAGCTTTCAAGGTTTTACAATAATGTAGTCCACATTAAATTGAATGTATTTATTTCCTTCTGCTTTGTATTTTTAGAAAATGTTCAGACCTAATGGCGTCCAGTTGCAAATAAATGACCTCAGGTGTTGCTATGTGTCATGGGAAGTTTCTTTGAGATTTGAAAATCCTCTGATTGACAGTGGTATAATTAATTTGTTCATTTTGCATTCGCAGGCTCAATTTATTTGTATCCAGCATCATCTGAGCTTTAACAATGAGCTTTATACATACAAAGATATCCATCTTTAGAAGTTGTTTAATATCTTTACTTCAGTGGATGCATGTAATTCATCTGCAGAATTAATCTCCTTTCATATAGACAGCAAGAACCAGTCTCTCTTAATTAAAGCTCTCAGTCACAAGGCATTTTAATCAGCAACTATTCATTTTTAATTTAAAAATGACAAAATGTAAACAATAAACTTGTAACTTAGCCTACATCATAAAACATCTTCCAAACTGTGTTTTCACCTTACCCAAAATCACTGTGTATGGTAAGCCTATAGTTTTTTTAACAACTTGTTTTTATATTATTATTTTTATGTATTATGTTATTATTATTTTTTTGTGTTGTTGAGCCTTCCATGCCAGTTTTTATCTCTGTATTTTGACTGGTTTAAGCCATTTTGTAGTATTCAGATATTGTTTTCAATAAAAAAATCATAATAAAAAAATAGTGAGCCTATAATAATTTCCACACTTTCATCATTTGTATGTGCGTGTTTACAGCATATCCGTAAATAAAGGAAAGAAGAATAGGCTACATGCATTAACCAAAACGTGAAAGTGACATAAATCATGAATCAACGTAGTTTGATAGCATCATATTCGCAGTGCATTGTTCTCAAAACAATGTTTGTTGGTAACAAATCCAATCTCTAAGTCTATTTGACTATAAATTGCCAAGTTATACGCTGTAACCTGAATAGCGTTGGAAGCGTTGGCAAACTTTTTGTAACGTTCATTTAAAAAAGTTAATTTCAACAAGCCAAAACAACAACGGCACATAAGCTGCTTACCTGCTCATATGAAATACAGTATTTTCAGAAATCCCTCTTTCGTTATTGGGAGAGTTTTGATCTCGTGTTTTGAGCACAGCGGCGCGCCTCAAGCCATCTTCAGATTCATCCGCACACAGCCGAAGCACAACTCGCGTCATTACAAAAACAATGTTACTCCGCAGTCCGCATGTAACTTGTAGTTTATTGCTTCAACCCCTAGAGGGCCAAAAGCTGTAGTGTAGCTTTAATAAAAAAACATTATCATATTTTTGGGATTAAAAATGATAATTGATTAGTGTGAAACTGAATAATTATCCAGTTCTTTTTTCAATTCTTTGGGATTCTTGTTTGGTCCCATTAGAATGATTTAGGATTGATTATTAGCCTAATTATGACCCGGCGCACATTCCTCTTGACTGGTTCAATGCACGTCAGGGTTCATCTTCATCAGTACAGTTTGTGACATAAAACACATTTGTAAATATTTTTATTTTATTTGCAAATCTCATTTTATTTATTTGTGAATGTGATAATTTTTTTTGTGAATCTCTTTACATTTGTTTGTGAATCGCAATCTATTTATTTGGAATAATGCAACGATTCTAACCCCATACCTTCTGGACTAAACGTTCAAGAAGAGCCACTTGAACAATCCCCGACTGAATACCTCAGAATCTGCGCAGTCAAAGCCAGTTGTCCTGGAATGAACTCAATAGTGCATCAGCTGCTTTGAGGAAAAGCCGATTGACCCTCCTCCCTGAACATGATCAATCACTGTCTCACAGAGCCCAGGGCCGAGTAGTTTGTTCTGGATTACAGGATTCTTCTCAAAGAGCCGAGGAGGATGGAGTGTGTGGAGGATCACTGACTACTCTGATCTCTCTCTCTCTCTCTCTCTCTCTCTCTCTCTCTCTCTCTCTCTCTCTCTCTCTCTCTCTCTCTCTCTCTCTCTCTCTCTCTCTCTCTCTCTCTCTCTCTCTCTCTCTCTCTCTCTCTCTCTCTCTCTCTCTCTCTCTCTCACACACACTGCATTCCCTTTGCAGTGCAGTTACACTTCTGATGGGATATGACGTCTGAATACTGACCCATTTTTACAGGCAAAAGGTCATCAAGGAAGTAAAGTTTATAAACTTAATGTTATTTAAAGATACAAATTATTTAGCTTGTGTCACAGTTAAGTGAATTTGAAACAATTTAATTCATTTGGTCTGAGATGTTTTTGATCATATGATTTTTGCTTCACTACTAACATGAAAAATAAATATTTCAGCATTTCCTATTTTCTATTCTCTAATGATCTTGTTGTTTTAGGAATAGTTTAAATGGTAATCAATTTATAGTTATTTTTTCCTGTCATCAATTTAACTTCATTCTGTTAGACCCTGTAAAAGTCAGTTCATGCTACATTCTCCAAGTGACATTGTTTGAGTGGTAAAAAATCATGATCATGTCATATCAAAATGGTATACGAATATATATATTAACAAAAAAAATTTTTTTTTCTTTTTTTTTTCTTTTTTTTTTTTAGCCCTTAAACGTACTTGCATGGAAAAGCACGATGACATTGTCTTTTCAATCGTTTCAGCAAATAATGACCTAAATATCAGTCTTTGTTTTATGCTCAAGGATTTCCTATTAATAAACTTCACGAATGTGCTGGATGTAAATATCCATGTACAAGGAAAAAGGAACACATCCATTCAGAAAAGTCACCTTGTTTGACCTATAAAAGTTTAGGAATATGCATTCTTAGATTATGTTATTAAAAGTGCACACACATAGATGATTTTCAGGACAGATGGTTTGAGGACAGATGAATTAATCTCGGTATAAATCTCCCAGAAGAGTGAAAAACTAGGGAACTCAATGAATGAACTGCATGTGTTTCAGTTACTGTACTTTGCTTCAGTCAGAAAAGGCTTTGGTGTTTCAACCACAAAAATTCACTCTTCATCAAGCCCACGATTCTAGTTCAGGAGGATTTTAATTTTGTATGTGAGAGTATGTGTCTGTCCCACTTTTTATAAGTGAATTTTTCTCAGGGTGAGATTATTTTTAAAGAACGTTTGACTATAGACACACTCTCTAAAACAAGCTATTGGACATGTCCACTGTTATTGACCGAAAAAGAAGTAATTTATGCAACACAATGGGAACCTGTTTTTTTTTTCTTGTGAGAAATATGCCTTAAAAAGAATTTAAGAGGTATTTCTTAAAATATGAAACACTATATAAGAGTAAAAAATATCAATAAAATATCAGTTTAAAATGTATTGTAACAGAAAATGTGCGAATATTGCAAAACATGTCTGGGTCATTTTTAACCTCAATAAACAAACAAACAAACAAATAAACGATGTTATATTTTGCTTAAAGATAAACTATTTAATAAATCATTAAAATCTATTTGTGATTTTTTAATGACAATTAAGTGCATTTCCCCATCAGCTTCCATTACCGTAATGCAAAAATAAATGGCATTAGAGAATCTAAATTATACATTTATAATCATCTTAATGTAAAAAAAAAAAAAAAAAAAAAAACATAGACATTATGCCAACTACTGTAATTTCCAACAGCTATTTGTGGAATTTCAGTCTTGTAGAATATACATTTATTGATTTAGCAGATGCGTTTATCCATATACTCAATGTCTGTTAAATAATAAGTTAAAAACAACAAATAATAATAATAAAAAAACAACTATATTTATGTTCTCCTTTTTAACGCTATAAGTGCCAACTTTTCCATGTGACAGAGGCAGTCTCCTCTATAAAAGCTCAGTGGTGCTCCACGAGCTCACTCAGGTGCGGAGAGTCAGGAGAGAGAGAGAGAGAGAGAGAGAGAGAGAGAGAGAGAGAGAGAGAGAGAGAGAGAGAGAGAGAGAGAGAGAGAGAGAGAGAGAGAGCACAGGCTCACGGAGCTGTATCTGAATCTGTGAATATTAGGATCGCATGCTGTACCTGTAGGATTGTTTTTTAGTGAAACATTTGTGCAGCACATGGAATGTTATAGAAATCGTATGGGTGCGTAAAGCCGTGCCATGCAGGGGAACAGCAGCGCGTTGGCACCGGGTTTAGCGTCGTGCGGTCCGGCACTGGACGAGGGCTATGCGCTGTCGAACCGGACTCTCCAGAACCTGTCGCTCCGCTGCTGGCTCCAGCTCCTCTCCAAAGAGTCCGCGCCGGAGCTCTACGGCGACAGCTCGAGCATGGCCATGCGCGTCGTGATCGCGCTCGTCTACCTGATCGTGTGCGCCCTGGGGCTCGTCGGGAACCTGTTAGCACTTTACCTGCTCCAGTCGCGCCACAGACTCAAGCAGTCATCCATCAACTGCTTCGTCATGAGTTTGGCCGTGACAGACCTGCAGTTCGTCCTGACCCTTCCGTTCTGGGCCGTGGACACACTTTTGGACTTCAGATGGCCGTTTGGAAAGGTGATGTGCAAGATCATCAGCTCGGTGACCACCATGAACATGTACGCGAGCGTGTTCTTCTTGACGGCCATGAGCGTGGCGCGCTACTGCTCTCTGTCCTCTTCCCTACGGATGCAAAGTCCCAAAACGGCCTGGGCCGAGGTCAAGTGGGCCAGCTTGGGGATCTGGCTCGTGTCTGTGGTGGCCACCATCCCTCACGCGGTGTACTCGACCACGGCGCAGGTGTCCGACGACGAGCTGTGCCTCGTCCGCTTCTCGGACTCCGGTAGCTGGGACCCACAGCTGCTGCTCGGTCTCTATCAGACACAGAAGGTCCTTTTGGGTTTCGTGATTCCGCTGGTCATCATCTGCGTTTGTTATCTCCTCCTGCTGCGCTTCGTTCTGCGGCGGCGCGTCAGCGGCATTCCCGGCTCGGAAAGCGAGAGAGGGCGGCACAAGCGCCGCTCCAAAGTCACCAAATCCGTCACCATCGTGGTTCTATCGTTCTTTCTGTGCTGGCTTCCCAATCAGGCACTGACCCTTTGGGGAGTGCTCATCAAATTCGACCTGGTGCCGTTCAGTAACGCGTTTTACAACGCGCAAGCTTACGCGTTCCCCATCACCGTGTGCCTGGCGCACACCAACAGCTGCCTGAACCCGGTGCTGTACTGTCTGATCCGACAGGAGTACCGCACCGGCCTCAAGAAACTGCTGTTTCGAGCCACTCCGTCCATCCGGAACCTGGCCAAACTGGTGTCCAGGAGGAAGAAGGTCGCGGAGGCTCCGCCTGGAGTGGCTGTGGTGCAGATGGAGATCGGGGTGTGACGTCGTTACCAATATGGAAAAAGACACTGAGACTTGTTGGAACTTTTAAATGCAACATCGTATGCCTCTGGAACATGGATTTATCAGACATTGATGATTTGAAATAGCATTGCATTATCATATAATCATTACCAGTTATACAGTTAGACACACGTTTATGTTTTTTCCCATACAAGTTCAAGGAAATATACTTAAATCTTGAGGATGAAACAAATATCTATCTATCTATCTATCTATCTATCTATCTATCTATCTATCTATCTACCTATCTATCTATCTATCTATCTATCTATCTATCTATCTATCTATCTATCTATCTATCTATCTATCTATCTATCTATCTATCTATCTATCTATCTATCTATCTATCTATCTATCTATCTATCTATCTATCTTTTTTTATTTATTTTTATTTAATGGGTGAATTATCTATCTATCTATCTATCTATCTATCTATCTATCTATCTATCTATCTATCTATCTATCTATCTATCTATCTATCTATCTATCTATCTATCTATCTATCTATCTATCTATCTATCTATCTATCTATCTATCTATCTATCTTTTTTTATTTATTTAATGGGTGAATTAAAGCATGATAGTGATGTAAAAGCATTAACAAGTGTCCAGCAGGAATGCAAAAAAAAAAAAGGATTTGTTGTAGTTTCCGTTCACAACTATAGAAGTTTATCCAACTATGATGATTTCTACTTCTGAGAGTCTTGAAAATGAGTCCATTGTTCTAAAATGTCAATAATAGTTATCTAAGAAATGAGAAGGTGTGTTCAACCTCCTGACTGGTAATGTGATGAGACCATGATTCTGTTTCATGGACACATTTTGTTCCCGCCATCTCAAACATCTCAACATAAATAAACAGTGTTTACAAAAGCTGAACTTCAGGACTATTATTATTCTCTCCTCTTGGGGAAAAAAAGGACAGAAAAATTGTGACTGTACTTTTTGGACCTTTAGAGGAAACAGTCATGAGGAGAGAAACTGTTTTCTAAACAGTCCTTTAGCACTTTGAATATGAATATTTCAGTCCGTCTCTTAAAGTTTTCATTGGAGGACACAAATCCTGCTGAATGCAGTGTGAACAATCTTCACATCATCTAAACAACAACCCTGTCCTTTTCCTGATGGAGTTTCAAAGCAATGTGTCATTTTTGAGAAGAAAAAAAAAAAACGTTTACATGTGTTTCCACTTCAGATACATCTGATAACAAGAGTCAATTGTAATAGTTCACTTTGCTGACTTGTACAATGGTAATGTAAATAAAACCGTTTCAAGCAAACCTTCCATGTTTGGTTGATTATTCCCTTTTGTTCAAATGATAAAGTCAATGAAATTAAGGAAAATTGGAGTTAGTTATTGGAGGTGCAACAGAGGTTCTCTAATGCTCTATGTCTTAACGTGCTTTATGATTTAACATCGAAATCCAGTTGCTGATGTTATTACTTTTTTTTTAAATGAAAATGAAACGTTATTTGTTCATTTGCAACATTTCTCAATTATGCATTGATATTCAAGATCAATGATGTGCACGGCAGCGGTTTGGGTGACACTGAAACCAGACTTCATTCGCCCCAATAGAAAGCATATTTACACTGTCTGAATTGTTCCCTATATGTTACTTAATCGTCTTAATAAGTACGTATTACAGTTTTTCTCAGTCGCTTTGGTACATTTCTCAGATCAGAATTGAAATTCTCAAAATCATTGTGTCACTTGTGCACATCAAAAAAAGCAGTTTCTCATTTCTTTGAACAAGCTGCAAATGCTTTGGTACATCGATGCAAATGATTATGTACAATTCTCTGCTGTTACCTACATTATCAGTTGCTTATGTCATGTTGGTCATGATGTATTATAATGGGTCTCTGTTGAATAGTCTCACCCCCCACAACATTTAGGCATTAGTTCATAGCATAAGTCTTTACGTGCAAAATGGTTAAACAAGTTGTCATATTATGTCAAGCATATTTATATACATTTCCATTAGACTTTTTTTTCTAAATCTGTCCTGTTCACATTTCTACTTTTTTTGTGCTATGCAGTGCTGTCTTTTCCTTTCTGTATCGCAATGACATGGTCTGTCAACAAATTACAGTACAAACAGTAAAAGTGTAAATGTGAATCTTGTCCAGTCTCTTGCAATCACTCCCACATACACCAAGGTGTGTAACTTACAATAATTGTCATTAAAACTTTATCCATAGTTTACATCAGAACATCCCTCCAGAGTACACGGTTATATTATTGACAACATGACTAAGCAATATGTCTTATCGATACACAATGACACAAGGACTTGTCATTCTGATGCACTGACATGTTCATTGACACAGATATTTACTTTTGAGAGATGAACTAAGGATTTTGAGCAAGAGACTGGCTTTTGCAGGTAATCATGGTGTTTTGCTATTTGTACGAATTGTTTTGAGAAATGCACTTACTGTTTTGCAAATGTCGAGAATGATTCGAGAAATGTACCAAAGCGACTGAGAAAAACTGTAATAAGTAATAGAAAATGCGTGAACAAGTGACCGATTTCAGCCGCAGCTTCAGCGTCTATTTATAATGTAGGGGGCGGAGCTTCAGATTCTAGAGAGCATTTGATTGGACAGATAATCTGATGAGAAGCTGAAGTAGAAGCAGAGGATGTCATCAAAATCATTGATCCATATTGACAGAAGTGAGAGACTAAGTTTTGAATGCTTATATCTACTAAATGTGAATTTTGTCATTGTTTATACTAGCGTGAAATTAGAAAAATATTTTGCAAAAGTTCATTTATTTCAGTAATTCAACTTAAAAGGTGAAACTAATATGTTCATTACACGCAAAGTGAGATATTTCAAGCCTTTATTTGTTATAATTTTGATGATTATGGCTTACAGATATGAAAACCTTTTCACAATATTCTAATTTGGAATTTGGGGTTTTAATAAGCTGTGAGCCATAATCATCAAAATTATAACAAATAAAGGCTTGAAATATCTCACGTTGCATGCAATGAGTCTGTATAATATATTAGTTTCACCTTTTAAGTTGAATTACTGAAATAAATTAACTTTTGCACGATATTCTAATTTTCGAGTTTCACCTGTAGATAACAGTAAGACTAACATAGTCATACTATAAGCCAAAAAACTTTCATTTTGATTTCATGGGGACTTTAGTGCAGCATTGCTGTCAGTTCCCAGGAAACACAGAGAGAGTAAATCTAAAAATGATTTGTTTTTTTAATTTCATGGGAAAATATTTTTTTCAAAATATCTCCTTTTTGTTTCACAGAACAAAGTAACTCATTCAGGATTGAAACGACATGAAGATTTTCATTTTGAGTAAACTATTATCCCTTTGAAAAAATCAATTTCCAGTGTGTGGAACCTTTGGCATCAAATTAGGTTTAGCCAAAGAATTATTATTATTTTCTTTGAGTGATTGTGCATTTACATTAGCCCGGCTTGTAAACAGGTCAGTGGCAATAATAGGAATTCTGATGATGGGGTTTCTATGACACGCGTCTCGCTTGATGAAAGCCATAAAGCTTCATGCACACAGAATAATAATGCAATAAGCTGAATTCTGTTCACTTTGGAGAAAAGGTTGACTGCTATATGCAAGATTGTGACCCCTCATCTGACGTTCATCATTGTGAGCTGTCAGTCTTGGTTAAGTCTTCTCATCTCTCCACATAGATCTCATGTGAGATGCACAAACTCAGGTCATGAAGGGTCATAAACTTCATTAATCATGTCTGTCAACTGACAATACAGCTCTTCCCTCTTGCATCTGTGTAAATCAGTTTCAGATATTACAGCTGTGACTGAACATATAATGGTTGTGGTTGAGGAGATTCCCCCCTTCCATGTAAAGCGCTTTGAGTTCTAAGGAAAATCACATGGCAGTTGCTTCAATGCATTTAGGGGTGTGGTCCTGGTCAAGACAATCTCCTGAACTCCAAACTGAATGTCAGAATGGGAAAGAAAGGTGATTTAAGCAATTTTGAGCGTGGCATGGTTGTTGGTGCCAGACGGGCTGGTCTGAGTATTTCACAATCTGCGCAGTTACTGTGATTTTCACACACAACCATTTCTAGGGTTTACAAAGAATGGTGTGAAAAGGGAAAAACATCCAGTATGCGGCAGACCTGTGGGCGAAAATGCCTTGTTGATGCTAGAGGTCAGAGGAGAATGGGCCGACTGATTCAAGCTGATAGAAGAGCAACTTTGACTGAAATAACCACTCGTTACAACCGAGGTATGCAGCAAAGCATTTGTGAAGCCACAACACGCACAACCTTGAGGCGGATGGGCTACAACAGCAGAAGACCCCACCGGGTACCACTCATCTCCACTACAAATAGGAAAAAGAGGCTACAATTTGCAAGAGCTCACCAAAATTGGACAGTTGAAGACTGGAAAAATGTTGCCTGGTCTGATGAGTCTCGATTTCTGTTGAGACATTCAGATGGTAGAGTCAGAATTTGGCGTAAACAGAATGAGAACATGGATCCATCATGCCTTGTTACCACTGTGCAGGCTGGTGGTGGTGGTGTAATGGTGTGGGGGATGTTTTCTTGCACACTTTAGGCCCCTTAGTGCCAATTGGGCATTGTTTAAATGCCACGGCCTACCTGAGCATTGTTTCTGAACATGTCCATCCCTTTATGGCCACCATGTGCCCATCCTCTGATGGCTACTTCCAGCAGGATAATGCACCATGTCACAAAGCTCGAATCATTTCAAATTGGTTTCTTGAACATGACAATGAGTTCACTGTACTAAAATGGCCCCCACAGTCACCAGATCTCAACCCAATAGAGCATCTTTGGGATGTGGTGGAATGGGAGCTTCGTGCCCTGGTTGTGCATCCCACAAATCTCCATCAACTGCAAGATGCTATCCTATCAATATGGGCCAACATTTCTAAAGAATGCTTTCAGCACCTTGTTGAATCAATGCCACGTAGAATTAAGGCAGTTCTGAAGGC